GAAAGGAAAATATATTGTGTTACGCAGTCAAGTCACGTCTAGATGTTGGACCTTTAAGTTTTTCAAAAGCGCTAGATAATTGTTGCTTAAGGATATTACAATTTAAACATTTACATTATAAATTAAAGAGAAAGTATGCTGCTTTTTCGTTTAAGAATTTAAACTTTTAGGCAACACATCGTATTGCTGTATTCTTCCAAAGGCAGCGGTTTCATAGGTTTTCTTTGCGTTGTAACCATTGTAAAACAGGCAGCCCAACATCAATTATGACTCCGACGAAGGATTAACATCCGAAACGTCAGTAAGTTTTTCCACATACTTTTTTACGGTGTTAAATTTTAACTATTTTATCTTTTTACATAACTGTTTCTTTAGAAACACCGACGCAGCTCACACTAGTTTACCGCTAGTTCCCACAATTATGACTCTAGATGACGTCAGTGTGATTGATGATTCAAACAATTGACTCAAATTCTTTTATTTTATAACGTCAAAATTTACTTAAAAATAACATTTAGCCGCGTAAATTATTCTAAATTATGATTTTCTATACGGAGTATAATGATCTAGGATTTTGAGTGAAAAAGTGAAAATTCAAAGAAAATAAATGATTCTAAACTACAGTAATTTTACCATCCATAATGAATATGATTCTCGCAAATTGGATTCTCATATTGGCTGAAGCAGTTTGAGTGTAGCTTATGTTTCATCTAGGGTTTTTTTATGATATCAAAACTACTTAAAATTTCATTGAAATACATCAATTATTCTAGATTATGATTTTCTATTACGGAGTATAATGACCTAGGTTTTTTGAGTAAAATTTTCAAAGAATATAAAATGGTTCTAAACCTACAACAATTTCCAATCAATAGTGATCTAGTTCTCAAACTGTCAGTTGGATTATAGATTATGTTTCATCTGGGATTTTAGTCCGTTTAAAATACGATAAAAACAAACGTTCTGCTGCTACGGAGGCTAACAGATTTAGGWCATGTTCTCTATGACTACAATTGTACATATTTGGTGTGTAACAGTTAGTATTTGTTTCATGGGTACATCGTTATGAAGGCAGTCAACAGATCTCATCTCCACACCTGTACTCGTTTGCCTAACCATTCTAGCACAAATACTCGACCATCTGGTGCAACAGAAACGTCACAAGGACCATTCATTTGACCAAAACCTGAACCTTCACTACCAAAGGAACTTAAGAAGTGACCGTCTTGACTGAAGACTTGCACGCGGTGGTTATCTCGATCACAGACAAAAAGCATTTGTTTACCAAACACAGCAAGTCCATACACACCATTAAACTGACCTTCTTTGTTGCCTTTCATTCCAAACGTGTACAGTAGACCACCATTCTCGCCAAAAATATAAACAGCGTCCACACCAATAAACGATACAAAGTACTTATTGTTGTCATAAGCTAATGAGAAGGGCTGACCATGAACATATTCAGTAACATCCAGTTTGATGTCATAAATGTGATCATAACTTTGTTTATCAAAACACTTTATAAATGTCTCTTCAGTATTGTAATTATAAAACAAACACGCGATTGTTTGATTGGCTGTACACATTCTCTTCAAAAACATATCTTGAGGTAGTTTGCAAGTTCTTTTGTAGGTACCATCAATGTCAAATACATTGATACAGCCACAATCACCTGGATTATCGGTGGTGACTATTTTATCCTCATTGAAGATGACACCATATGAATTACTCAGCTGACCATCTCCTGATCCTGCACCACCAATGTCTCGCAAATACTCTCCATCAGCATTGAACAACACAACACGGAAATCCTTTATTATATCATTATTAACCACAGCAATGTGGCCACTGTCATTTACATCAATTGCAATAGGATTGGACATTCTCTCTTTGACATCAATTATCTTCAAGGGTTTAAACTCTGCTTTGGCATGGATTGTCTCAATGTTCTGTGGTGAGTTTTTGATTTCTTTTCCTCCAATACTCACCACAACATTGTACGGTGAAGGTTTCTCTGCCTTGTACTTAACTAGAAATCTTCCAGTTTCAGTTTCAATCAGTTCTTTCTGCACATCGTTGCCATCAACATCTTGGATTTGAACATCAATGATATCTTTATTAGTATGGCATACATCACTTTGTGAATTTCTTGTCACGATCAGAAATTCATTGATAAAACCACATCTGACGTCACTTAGAGATTCGATAGAACAACGTGACGGATCTGTCACGCTTTCCACTACCTCACCCAGTTGGAATTTTCGCATCATGGCAATGGCTTCCGGGTTTGGAATGAAATGAAAGCTTGTGTTTCGCTTGACTGGTTTGGTCGATAAGATGGACTTGTTTTGCGCTGTACTTTTACAAACTTCTAGTAAATTTTCATAGCTTTCTAATATGAATTTTTCTAAGTTATTATCTTCCGTCGATTCACACTGATGCTTCAGTTCAGTGACTTGTTAAATGTTAGCGTCGATATCTTTTTTCTCGTCTTCATTTGCTGTTGTTTGTTCTGCAAGTAGGCCGTCCAAGGTAGCAATCAAAGCGTTTTAGCGGTCTTGTAGAATCTTCGTCAGAGCTTGTGTTTCATTTCGTACTTGTGTTTCTGAAGGTAGTTGTTCCTGTGTTGTTCCGAGAAGTATAACGGTTGACTAGCTGTCGCCACAGAGACCATGACAGCATCAAAGAAAAAAAATATTTCAAACATCAAAAATTGTTGAACTGAAACATTTAGTAATCAGATATTCATGTCTGCATTGGAATTGTCTACAACCAGAATGACTTTGCAACATGATTGTACAAACTCGAATTTTTACAATTATATCAATAATTCTTTTTGAAGAATGTGTATTTATCAGAATAGAAAACTCAATTTTTATTTATAAACATAATATTTTCCCACCATTTTTATATATTTATGCATACTTTGAGTTGTATTGAGTTTATGTCTTGTTTATGCTGATGACTTTCTCCACATCAAATATTTTCTCTTTTGTATCAGAGCTCGTCATACTTATTTTTAAAAGTTTACTTGCAGTGCATTAAATAAATCGTTCTTGCCACATGGGCTGCCCGGTGTCTATGGCATCGGTATCACCTTCGGGATGGAGGTGGGGTGGGTTAGTCAAGGAGGAAGGGATGGGGAATTGTTGTAGCTTATTATTTTTTTAAGTTTATTTACAGTAAATTAACTACAATTTTTCTTCGAATCGAGAGTTCCTATTCAATTGAAACAACGGTTGGTACTTCATGTAAGAACGCCGTTCCCTTCCGCTCCTCTCCTCCCCATTCTCTCTCGGCCACCCAGCAGGAACGCCTGTTAGCAGGCTAGTAAGAACCCATAGGATGACACTAATACACAACGGCTTGGTTTGGATTAGGGCTATGCTTGGTTTAGGGAGGTTCTATGGGATCTTACATAAAGTACCAACGGAAAAAAACATTGTTGGGCTACACCATCGAAGAACTCAAAGGGGACCTTTGGAGGCAAATAATGTTCATGTAAAAGTTTTAAGATATTTTACGTTTTAAATTCAGAGAGTCCGACACTGTTGGAGTCTCCTTCGATCTGAACTTCGTTGTATGCTCAGGAATCATTGAAATTATTGAAGTCTCTTTTCAAAAATACTAACCTRACTTTATCCATCTTGAATTAGGTTGAGCGTTTGACATGGGAGGAGGAAGACGAGAAGCTCTTTGGGCGTGGTTCCCGTCAGAGGAAGGAGGTCGACTATAGCGAACACTTGACTGAAAAGCAGTGGTTGAAAGCTATCGAAGAAGGTTCCCTAGACGAGATAGAAGAACGACAAAAAACAAGGAAAATGAACAAGAAAAGGAAACGAGAAGGAGACGAAGTTGATTCACCAAAGGTATTGTACCTCGGTATTACGRACACCCCGATAYTATAGTCAGTCCAAAGGTATTGTACCCCGGTATTACGGACACCCCGATACCATGGTCAGTGTGGCCTCTATTTTCGTGGACGTCTATATTACACACACCTCGATATTATCCCGATACTTCGGTCATCCACACCTGATATTACACTCCAATATGATAGACACCCACACCTCGATATTACGGTCACCCAGATATTACGGGCATCCCGAATAGCATTACGAGTTAGAAGGGCATTGGGGCGTGTTAACGATGCTCTGGCTGATATTAAAATAGAAGTGGCTAGTTTGAAGTAGACAAGTAGCTTGAGGTAAAGTGAAAATCATCGTTTTTTCACAGGTGAAAAAGAAAAGAGGAAGACCGCCCGTCGGTAAGGGATTATTCCATAATCGTACTCGATCGTCTTATTGTCGCTGTTGTGAATTTTGTTTTGTCGTTGTTGTTGATGATGCTGTCGTCGTTTTAGTAGTAGTAGTAGTAGTAGTTGTTGTTGTTGTAGTTGTTGTTGCTGTCGTCGTCGTTGTCGTTGTTGTTGTTGTTGCTGAGCCTGAATGTATTGCTTATGTTACCATTGCAGTGAAAATGTCTCCAAATCCACCGGAACTCACCAAAAAGATGAAAAGACTTGTAAAATACATCAATAAACACGTAGACGAGTAAGGCAATGCTTTTTTGAATGACATTCTGTCTTTCCGTTTCTCACCCATTCATTATCTATCTATTCGTTTCCTAATCCACTTATTCATTCACTTGCATTTCCCATTCAGTGACTCCTTGCGTCTTTCTTCCCTTAATATATCATATCATGCATTCGTTCTCCATTCGTTCACTCTGTCTTTCGTTCGTTACTTCATTTCTCCGTCCACCCTTTGATTTCACCTGTCAAACGCATTAATTGACATTTGTTTTTAAATTTCTCCAGTGAAAGTGGTCGATGTCTTGCCGAAGCATTCTTGGTTCTTCCCACCAAGAAGGATCTTCCTGACTATTACCAAATCATCAAACAACCTGTTGACATCAAGAAGATTAGGGTGAGTAAGCCTCTAGGGGGG